TAGCTAGCTAGCTGGAGCTAGCTATCTAGCTAGCTAGCTACCTATCTAGCTATCTAGCTAGCTAGCTAGCTAGATAGCTAGCTAGCTAGATGGCTAGCTACCTAGCTAGCTGTCTTCATTGCCTCGCTCTCCAGCTAGCTGGCGATGAGTCGCGCAGCTAGCTAGGCCTTGATGTATGGCTAGCTGTGTTCTTTAGTCTTCGTCTTGTGGTGCTTCATCAGATTGCTGCTGCTGCTGCTGCTGCTGCTGCTGCTGCTGCTGCTGTTCTTCTCCTTGTTGCTGTGTTTGGTCTGTCTGTGTATCCTCTGCCTCTGGGTTGCCTTTATGTTGCTGCTGTTGTGTCTCTTCTTGTTCTTGCTGCTGCTGCTGCTGTTGCTGCTGCATCATTTCTTCTGTTTGCTGCTGCTGCAGTCCTTCTTGCTGCTGCTCTAGCTCCTCTTGCTGCTGCTGCTGCTGCTGCAGCAGCTGCTGCAGTCCCTCTACCGAGCTGCTGATGCTGCTGCGTACAGCCGGTGACCTCGCTACCCCGATGATGGCTTTAATTAAGTTTATAAGAGCACCCCACACGAGGAGACCGTATACAAAAGTAAGAGACACAACAACTCTATCTGTCTCCAAAGCTTTATCGTAAGCCTGGGCCTCGGTGAGCTGTATATGCTGCTCTCTCAGGTGTCTCTGTTTCAACATATCTATGCGGGGTATAACCATCAACTCATGCAGCAGCAGCAGCAACACAGGCAGCAGCAGCAGCATCACACCAGCATTCTTTAGTTTCTTTAGTGCTTTCTTTCTATCCTCCTGCTGCTGCTGCTGCTGCTGCAAGTCTTCTTCTTGCTGCTGCTGCTGCTTCTCTTCTGCTACTCCTCCTGCTGCTGCTGATGATGCTGCATCTATTCCCTCTAAACCTACTGCTGCTTCTGCTGCTGCTTCTGCTGCTGCTGCTGTTGCTTCCGTGTCTGTACTACCCTGGTGCAGTATGTAGGGATCGGTTGCTGCTGCTGCTGC